GAGTGCGAAGCCAAACCATAATTGTTCCAGCTGCTGATGCAGCCCTGGCTGTTGCATACTCCCCTGTCACAAATTAAAGGAATCTCACCGTTAGACTGTCAGTTGAATTGCTTTCCTAGAAACTATGAAGGTTCATATTAAATTATGTAAGAAAATCAGCCCCAGCACTAATGAGAAATAAAAAAGCAGATTAGATATGCACATGATTTACTGATCCAATTACAGATCTTACTATAATTGTAATAAGATCTATTATGAAAGAAGCTACGAAACTGAGGGTGTTAACATGAGAATGCACTTGGAGAAACTGTTTTATGTAATAAGAAAAAGCTATCAGGTCAGTCATGGCTAATCCACTGAATATATCTGGTTCGTCCTGGATTATGCATGAATCAATATGATCATCTAATTACTTGATTCTAATAGAAATGTTCAACATGAAGGGGGATAATCCTTTGAGAAAAGAGTACCTTACCTTCAGGATGAGCCATTTTCTGCATGGCGGTTGGGGCAATCATGATGGGCATTGATATCTTGAAACCCAAAACAGTGGTGGTCATGTCTATCTTGCTTACGTCAATAAGAATGCGAGGACGAAACCTATGCATTATAGGAATAAAGATTTCAAGAAATTGAGACCTAAACATCTAGACAGAAAGGAATTGAATCTAGTGTCTTGCAATAACAGATATGAAAGCTCACAGGATCCTTGAGAATGCATTCCTGTTCTCCTGCAAAGTCCACTGGTCCTCTGCGCCAGATGCATAGTAGTCATACACCATCTTTGGCAACTTTTGCTTTGCAATTGCGTCATACTCACTGACATTGGTTATCTCCATCTTTGCTGTGAAGTTTTGGTCTTCTGCCTGCAAAATTTTGTACAAGTTAGCATTTCAGGGACAAAAAGAATATAATAAACCTTACGATTTACTCATTAGGACAACAATCCAATCAAATGGTTGGCTTAAATTTTTTTGGTATATTGGAGATCTCAGCATGAGAATAAAAGAAAGGGTTACAAATGTTGGGATTTGAATTCCAAACTTGTTGGATGCCACCTCTCAAGGGTGGCTGTATGAATTAATTGAACCAAAACTCCGAGTTCATGGTGGGCATAAATTTAGATTTATGTTCTTCTAGCCTACTTCAAAGGAATATTACAACAGAGTTCCAAATGTATATACATTACCATTCACCAGAATTGACTGGATAAAATATGTAAGATACAAAGTACAAACCAGGCAAGCAAATGAAGCTTGCATCTTTGAAATTGAGATTCAACTGTGGTTAACATACAAAGAAAGCAAGTAAACTCTCAGCAATCTCATATCCAATTTATATATAAGCGACAATTCTGGGATATCAAATACAACTTCAAGTAAATGTCTAATACACAGTATTTAAGCTCTTCCATTTGGTAGCCAGAAAAAAAAAAATCAAAAGCAAGAAATAAAAGAAAAGGTAACCATTTTCAGCATTAGTACTTTTCTTTCATATACAACAAGCTGTGCTTTGCTATTAGGCCTTAAAGGTACATTTAGATAGGCCATAAGATTGTTACGTCAGTGGTGAGGATAAGATTAGATACTATAACCGTAAAATTAAAATCAATTGTAGATATATGTGCTTAAAACAAATGCAGCAATGACAGTGAGATTTTTTATTTTTATACTAAGGAAGACCATTGCCCTAATGTCCAGTTGTTCATAAGACCGTTCCCTCTCCGGTTAGATTAAAAGGTAACCAGGAGCTACCGCACCGTGGGGTGCTACCCAAATGCACCCCGGTGCGGTTTAATTTTTGTTCGGGGAAACTAGCTAAGACATAAGGTAAGTCTGGTTTTTCTTTGAATCATCTTACATAACTCCAAACTAGCTAAGGAAAAACATTGAACCCAAAACATAATCATATATATTAGAATCCTTGACAACCAAAGAGATTGAAAACACATAATAATAAAGAAATAAATAGTAATCTGAGAAAGGTGTTGAGCCAAAAGCCAACATGGAAAAATGTGAGACTTATAGCAGAATCATAGCAAGTATTTTAGCTTACCCAACATAGAAAAAAGGGAATTGGACTAGAAGAAAAGCAGATAAAAGCATACCCTTTGGTTCCAAGACTATGCAGCAGAGTGCATGCAGAGAAAAAAGTTGGAGAAAAACTCTACTGATATATTTTAACGTAAGAGAAAGAAACAAAATATTGGAAGGTGACAAAAAAAATAGTGGGGTACAAGCTATAACATGAAGAATATATAAGCCACACAAAAAAGGAAAAAGAGAAAAGAGAATGGGAAATTATCAGTTAAGTGGATGAGCATTTAGAGGTGAGAATTTGAGACAAACTCCTGATTGAGCAATTGCGTGACTCTCATCCATATACCCTGTGTGTTTTACAGTTTTTCTTTCTCCATTATCTTTCTCATCAAAAAAATAAATAAATAAAAGGATTTGGAAAAAATTATTAGTGTAATGAAGGGATCCAATGAACAAAGAAATTGTTACGAGTGAAAGTAAAAATAATGGATCTTCCTGTGTCTCTTTCTCTCTTTGTTGGTAGTTTAAAATATGATATATTTTAAATTAAATAAGAAAATTTAATTATTAATAAATAAAATTAATTTTTATAATAATTAATTTTATTCATATTTTAAATAAAAATAATTATCATATGATAAATGATTATAACTATTTGAATATAAATAAATTATTATTTATAAAAGCTATAATTATATAAAATATCATAATCATTTTAATAAAATTTTTTATCTATTTATTCATTATAAATAAATTTTTTGATATAATTATTTATATTATTTCTGATTTGAAAAATTTTAAAATTTTATTATATCCTATATACATAATTACTTTTAAAATAATAATTTTCATACCTCAAAATCATTTTTTTCTTTCTTACTAATTCTATTTTCTCAAAATTTTCTAACGTCTCTATCAGTACATAAAATTTGAATGCAACATTTCATTTGTCTTATGTTTCGTTCATTCTTTTAAATTGGGCAAAAGCTGGTAAATTACAAAGCAGCTTGCTTTGAGCCAAGGTTGTAAATTTCTTTTTTTTTTTTTTTTTATAATGAGATACATTAGTATCAGTTCTTATGACACATTATTTTAAGTTTTTTATTCAATTAAAAATATATATTAATATACATGCACTCATATATAATAATATTATTAATAATATACAAAATAAATGTATAAAACATTAAGCATTGATAATGATAAGTATAAAATTAATAAAATTACTTTTTTAACAAATAATAGTTATTGTTGAAATTGATATGCGTTTACTTAATTTTATATTTTATTAAGTATAAATAAAATTCAATATTAAATCACGTAATAAAGCTAAAAGAAATTAATTTTCTTTTTTATTTTATATTGTCTTTTAAATAATTTTTTTGATTGATCTTTTAAATAATTAATTGTAAAAAATATACACCCAATCTCACCTCCATGTGGACAATTTCTTATTATGATTGCTCCAATAGGCTCAATTAATATTTTAAATATAAGATATTTTTAACATTTACATTAGGGCCGAAAATAATAAAATTTTGCTAAAATCAACAGAAATTATTTGATACTCACGAAACAAATTGACATTATCTAATATTAAAATCTATACCACCTAATTTTCTATCAAAACAAATACTAAAAAAATGCATGTCATTTTTTAAAAATTAATTTCTAAAAAAGAAACGGAGTCTTAATAATGAATTTTTTTTATAGGTATTAAATAGTGGTATAGTTCGAGGACTATATCACACATTGACCCTTCTATAAAATTTGTATGTAGTGGTGGTTCTAGCATTCATTGCGGCATGATGGAGAAGCCATCTACTCTGGGCATAAATTCTTTCCCGTTTCTTATTGATGAATTTATTTTTTATGCAGCGATTGCTGGTGTGGCTGCATATAATAATCACAAGTTGAAGAGGAACCTTCTCGCCATATCTCTGATGACTCCCCAAGATGCCCAGGCCATACCGATGGCTGCATCATCAACTCCAATAGATGGTTATGTACAAGACTAATATGCCTTGATGATTTTGAAGTATATAATTGCATGAAACAGAGCTATTCGGAGCTGCCATTTAATCTCTTTTGTCTTCTATTTACGTTGGCATGTTTTATTGATTTTGCAGCAGAATATTGGGCGTAATTTTTTGTACCGCCATCGAGCTGCATGCTTACTCTATGGGAGAAAGTGACCTGTTGAGATCTAAGGTGAAGAAGAAAAACTGTAAGGAAATACATGGACAATTTAAGCTATAGTGATTTAGTTTTTGCTTTTGTTATGTCCTAAATGTTATACGTATTATCAACATCTATTGAATGATAAAAAATTTAATTTTTCGTAAGTAAAATTTTATTTAAGTATTGTGAATAAAAAATAAATTTAAAATAATTTATTTTTTTTAATAAAATTCGATTTGATTCGATTTCGAATTAATCGAAATCTAAAATAATTATTGAATACCGAAAGATTATAGATAAAAGGAAATTTTATTCACATTGACAATTGAAATGCACATTGCTATAGTGGAATGGATTCAGCATTGTTAAAAAACTCAGCTTTTTTTTTTTTTATACATGTGATTTTACATTATAAACTGTGACATAAATTTTTTTTATATCTCATAAATTTTATTTATTTAATCTCAAAATTCGATCGAAAATTTAAACTCAAAACCTTAAAAATTAAGAAATTATATCTTCTCGATGCTTTCACAAGATGTTTGAACTTTCAGTTTTAAAGGATACATTTTGGTATATTTTTTTTTCATTTGTAACTTTATTTTTTTATTTGACGTTTTTAAAATTAAAATTTAGATTATTTAAATTAAAAGTTTAATATTTTATTAAAAATTATGATTGTTGATTTGGGATTTGAAATGATTAGAATTTAAAATTTTTTACTAAAATAAAAACAAATTACGCAACTCTTGGCTCTTAATGTTTTTTTTTTTCCCACAATTTTCTTTCTTGTATCAAACAGAATGTAAGGTTTAAGTAAAGCCCAATTCAAGAAAAGGCGAAGAAAAACAAAAGAATGGGCCCTTAACAAAAAAGAAATTAAAAAAAAAAAAGCAAAACAAAAATCGGCGACCAAGACTTTGGGCAATCGATTAATTGAGGAAAAAAAAGGAAATTAAAGGAAAAATTTTGAAGCAACGAACCCTCACCAGATTTTTCTTCTTTATTTGAAAGGCTTGCAAAGGGGGGAAAAGGGGAATTTTGATTTTGAGCGCAAATTTTCCCTACAAATTAAAGGAAATGCGATTGCGGTGGTGCTGGTGGTCGTCCGATGAGAGATCGGCTAAGGAGGATCACCGCCGTTGATGGGAATTGTCGAGTTACAAATGACTTGGCAGCCGAGTTTACTCAGTGAAAAACGGAAGAAAGGCCCTCCTTTAGGCTTAAGAAACCTCGGCAACTCTTGTTACCTCAACAGCGTTCTTCAGTGCCTCACCTACACTCCACCGCTCGCCAATTTCTGCCTCCGCTCCCAACACTCCTCCTTCTGCGACGCCTCTGCCTCTAAAAAACCACGCGACTGTCCCTTTTGTATCCTTGAAGGGTGGATTACACGCTCCTTAACCCTCGATCTCACCCTCGACGCACCTTCCAAGATCCAAAGCTGCCTTAAAATCTTCGCCGAGCACTTCCGGTTCGGACGACAAGAGGACGCGCACGAGTTCTTGCGTTACGTAATCGATGCTTGCCATAACACGTGTCTGCGTTTAAAGAAGTTGCGGCGAAATGGAAGTGAAGGAGGAGGAGGAGGCGAAGCGGTGAATGGCAATACCATAGTTAAGGAGATCTTCGGGGGTGCTTTGCAAAGCCAGGTTAAGTGTTTGGGGTGTGGTGGGGAGTCAAATAGAGTTGATGAGATTATGGATATTAGTCTTGATATTTTGAATAGTGGTTCACTTAAAGAAGCTATGCATAAGTTTTTTCAGCCTGAAGTTTTGGATGGGAATAATAAGTACAAGTGTGAAAAGTAAGTTCAAATTTCAACTTAATTATTATTATTATTATTATTATTATTATTATTATGTTGTTGTTGTTGTTGTTGTTGTTGCTTTTGCTTTCAAAATTAGAATTAGGCGTATAATCGAATGAATACACTGCTAGGCTCGAGATTTTGCTTTCAAAGTTAGAATAACAACAAACAATTTTTGTGAAGAACGTGGTATTTCCTTTTTTTTTTTTGTTTTTTCCCTTATATAAACCAATTAAGAAGGGAAAAGCAAACATAAAGAAGTAGCAAAAGTAACAATCAAAGGGAGCCTTATTTGTTTGGCTATTGTATTGGTTGCTTTGATTACATGCTTTTACTTTCAGAGGCGAATAGCAAAGGAAAAACTTAAAAACTAGTAATACAGTTTTTCTAGAGAACAAAATATATGGTTTTACCTTTGTATAACATAATTATGTTAGAATTGGTCTCTGTTTAATCGTTTGTTCATTTTTAATCTATTATGATTTTGTGTTTTTTTTCATCATTTTTTTCACTTGATATCAACGTTTTAGTATGAAAAAAAATAAGACAAATTGCAAAATGCAAGAGAGAAAAAGCAAGAACCAAATTCAATGTGATTGACACCTTTTTCTTTTTTTTTTGCTTATTTATTGTGTTTTTGAATGAGAAACTTATGGTAGTTTAGTTGTAAGAAATTGGTAGCAGCGAGGAAGCAATTGTCCATACGTCAAGCACCTAATATCCTTGTTGTTCAACTAAAGGTACGTTATGGCATTTTTTTAAATTCTTAATCTTTGTTTTTGTTGTCAATGTTATAGTTGCTTAAGTTAGTTGTTTTATTGGTTTTTGGAGTAAAGGTGTGATTGTTGGATCGTTATGGCAGAGATTTGAGGGAATCTTTGGTGGGAAGATTGATAGGCTCGTTACATTTGAAGAAGTTTTGGTTCTTTCGAGCTTCATGTGCAAAGCAAGCCAGGTGTGTTGAGTTGTTAATTTAACATATAAGTTTATTTAGTGTTACAAGTTACATTTGCATCATTCTATGAATTCTAGAATCTAAGTTTAACATGGCGAGTGATAAGGATATAAAAGTAGTTACAAGTTAACTAATAATATCTCTCCCTAAGGTGGTATAAGTGGTTTCCTGGAAAACAATGTACACTTCTGGAACAATGAGCTCTAATCTTCGAACAAAAAAATACTTTGCTATTTTCTTTGTCCAAATAGTGTGAATATCACAATGTAGTGGTGGACTTTACACAAAGCTCTAGATCTCCATCATTGTTTGAACTTTGAATGATTTGTGGTGGAAGTAAGTATAGAGATGAAAACTCCAAGGGTCAATGCTAACTTTTAATGGACTAAAGAATTGTCAGGAACTTCTTGTTCATCTTGCCAGCTTTGGTCATCTTAGGACCAGATGTTAAGTCTGCTTCTTGATAGGATCACTTTTAAGAATCTATCGAAAGGGTGGATTATAGCGTGTGCCTTAATCACTATGGCCTAGACTACAATGTGAAAGAATAGAATCTTAAAATCCTTTCAGATTAAGGAGATATTTTCTTGCTTAACTTGGGATGTTTAGGTTTTTAGAAGTGCAGCAAATAGCCTCAAATGCATTTTAGAGGTTGCTAACTACAGTTGGCGTACTGTTGTGAATCCTCCAATGGCTAGAAAGAATGGTCAAGTATTCTCTCCAGTTAAGAAGAAACTTTCTTGGGTGTGGTGGAATTAGCTTAATGTGGGAATATGCCTTTTATTTCACTGTAAAAGTTTCTTAAATATAGTATTAGAGATCAGTGCTCTCTTTTGATAAATGGAAAAGTTTTAGAGAGTGCTTAAGTGCGTCAAAACTTGGCAGGGGGTCTACTAGATAATACCCTAAAGAAATAGAAAAATAGGAGGTTGAGGAAACAGTAAAAGAAACTGACAACCAAAAATTAATACTTTAACGAGTTCTGAAAATGACCTAGAGAAACTAAGCTTGCATTGGAGGAAAACTAGGCAAATGAATGTTCTAATGTAAGATTTTATCTCCATAATCCAATTAGAAGTGTAAACATCAAACTAAGCAAAATGGCCCCATTCATCTACCCGAAATTTAGGCCTTTACCTGACAAGCCTCTCCAACTCTAGCAATTTTATCACTGTTTATGCATCTCTCATTAAACACTGACGGATTGCAAAAAAGCAAAAGTCCTGTGCCTTTCTCTAGTATTTGAGCACGTACTTCTCTAGCTAGTGAACAATGTAGTAAGAGGTGATCAACTTTTAGTCTTGACAAAAGAACAGTGGCTAATAACAATTTCCCTTTATTCACGCTAATTCTCGGAAGTAACAATATGATGTAATGCTGCTGGTAAAACAGGTAGAAGAGTTCACCTTTACTTTCCAAATGTTCCTCAATGAAGATTTTTATGTAGTATCATCACCAAAAACTTTTGAAAAATATTTTTTGTATTCTGTTATTGTCCATATTTCTGTTTAGGTTTCTATACTAGTATAAGCATTTTTCCACTGCAAGTTGCTTCGTACAAGTATACATGAATTGTTGTTTAATGATCAAACTTCAGCAGATAAGTAGAACTTTGGACATTGCTCCTAGTTGTTTGTTGTCGTTTTTCTTAGTACCATGACATTTTAACCCTCTTGGCCATTCTAGCATGCTGTCTCAACAACTTGATCTATGCAATCAAAAGTAAAGCAGACATATACTTGTTTGCTGCCTGCTCAGCCATTAAATCACCCTTCCTTTCTTGTTGTGTTTCTACTTTCACTAGGACTAAAGCTATAAATATTTGCATGCATGATTGTACCTTATTGAAATTCATCTATTTATACAAGGAAATTGCAAGTGATAGTGATGGTGACAGTGGAGGAAAGTGATGAGGGGGATGATAGAGAAATTAATTTTGGAGGATGGCTATGGGTTCCAATTTACTTAAAGAAGCTAACCGATTAGAAAGCTTAGATGATTATAATGGTAAGTGAGGATGGAGCGGAATAATCTTACCAGGCTGAACCAAGTTACTGGCTTGCTGCTGCAAGATTGCAGTAGATGTCATATTAGCATGAATTTCTTGTGACCTTTTCATTTGCTTGTGTAGACTAGCTATGAAGCCTGCCTTGGTGTTTGTTTTACTAAATTATTGGGGAATATTGTAGCATCTTAATGTGTTTGCTAACAATATATACAGTGTGGCATTTCTAGTATTATCATGTGTCCTTCAATATCTCAAATATCTGTTTATATTTGGTCAATGGAAAAGATAGTCTTGTACCTTTTTATAGATAAGAGGTATATATGTTTTAGGGGTTAGTACCTCTTGTGTTCAATGTTGCATATGCTTATGTCATGTCATTGGTTGGTTTCCAATGTTGAGTAAGTCCGTCACTGTTACATTAGAGGAAGGAAATTGAATTTTAGTGATTGACGAGCAGTGCATGATTTGGTTGAGGTAATTTCTGCATGTTTCTACCCAAGAGATTTTGGTACAGTCAAAAAATTTCCTTTGTTTTCCCTACAACGTAATGGCTTCTACTTGCTCTATTCTATATATCCTGTACTCCTTTTTTTTTTTTAATTTGTAATTTTGTTGTTATTTTCAATGCAGGATCCACAACCAGAGTATAACCTATTTGGTACTATTGTGCACTCAGGACACTCACCTGAATCTGGACATTACTATGCATATATCAAGGTGCTTATGCTATCCTGTTTCTTCCTCGTTATATGTATGCTTCAATGCAGCAGTGTTGATGTAGTTACTGACATTAGCTTGCTGTTTGTAAAGGATGCAATGGGCAGGTGGTATTGCTGCAATGACTCCTTTGTCTCACTTTCAAACCTGCAGGAGGTCTTGTCAGAGAAGGTTTATATTCTTTTCTTCTCTCGTACTAACCAAAGGCCAGGGTCTGTCAGTACCACATTTTCTTGCAATGGAGCTAAACCACGTGATTCTAATGGAATTGAGGCATCAAAAGTCCTGAAAGCTGTTCAATTAAAACCAGTCCAAACAAAACCTTGTGTTGAACAATCTTCACAGAAGGATAAGGTTGGGAAACTGTCTTCAACTCCTCGGGTGAAATTCAATATTTCTGAAAAACCTGGTCCCAAAAAGCTTCCTGTTACGGGTAATGGAAAAGTTGACTTCCATAAGATTCAAAATGTTGCTGTGAATGGTGTTTCGAAGGATTCAATTCATATGGAGAAGAATGAAAAATGTGTGCTGTCATTGAAGAATGGGAACGGTATTGACAAGAGCAGAAAAGTTGATGCTGTTGGTAGTGTAAAAAGCCAACCATTTGCATTGGCAAATGGAAGTTCTACAAAATCAGATCCTTTTGTGGTTAATGTCAGCAAAAGCATGGCAGTTGGAGGGCAGGTTGATACTGCTCTTTTCAATGCCTGTGACTCAGGGCGAAAGAAAATTTCAGAAAATACTTGTGATATTTCAGGGTTAAAGAGAAAATCGGAAGATTCTTGTAATGTCTCAGGGCCATGTAATTTCTCAGGGCTAAAGAGAAAATTGGAAGATTCCTGTAACTTCTCAGTGCCAAAGAGAAAATCAGAAGCCTCTTGTGATATTTCAGGGCCTAAGAGAAAATCAGAGGATTCTTGTGATAAATCAGGTCCAATGACAAAAACAAAAGACTCCTGTGTTAACTCGGAGCCAAATAGAAAATTGAAAGACTCTTGTGATTTCTCCATGCCAATGGGAAAATTCTGTATTCTGCTTTCCCAGGATGCTCAATCTCGTGCAGAAGTTGAAAATGTGAAAGAAATGTAAGCTGCATTCTATCTCAATTGCTTTAGTGATGCCTTTTATGGTATAGCATATACTGATTACTTTCTGGGTGCTGCATATTAGTTGTTTGTGACTATGAGGTTCTCTTTCTTTTAATATCATCTTTTCTTGATTTATCCATGTTTGAAATCTCTCTCAATTGGGAGATCAATTAGTTAGAACTAGGGTATGACATAGCTGGTCCAGGAGTTATGGGTTTAGTCATGCCAGTATTTTTTTGAATTTGTTTTAGAAGTCACTTATCAAGCAGGTTTCCTCTTCCCCCTTCCTTGCTGTTGTTAACTTGCACAGATGAGCAAGTCACTTTTGAGAACTAGTTTCTTAATTAGTTGCATTATGACAAAATGCTTGTTAGCCTGATTATATGCTTTATTGCTACATACATAAAAATAGTTCTGTTCTTGTTTGTTGTACCGCATCTGACAATAGTACCCAGGTTTATAAAAATGAATCCTTACTGGCACCATACTTTCTAGTTACATAGGGTTTCTTTACAGTTGAGCTATTCCTGGTAATGTTTAACTTGTCAAAAATTGCTTTTTTATTCACTTAATAACTCTTTATTATTTTGGTATGTTTTCAATTTGATTCAATATTTACCAGGTTGAAAAAAGAAGCTTCTTCAGTTTTGCGATCGTGTGGCTGGTACTATAATGTTTACAGTTTCATGAATTTGAGGAAGCAGTCGTATGCACTGGAGATTGGAAGCACCATTAGTGGCAATGATTTAGAGTAAGCCTTTGTTAAACTGTTATGTAGCATGTCTTTATATGCACAATTTACACTCCAAGCATGCAAGATTTTCTTTAGGAATTTTGATGCATTTGACTTGCTGTAGATTTCCATCAAATTGGTGTAAATTGTTGGCAGGTTTGACAAACTTCTGCAGTAACATATACTTACAAAGAAAGGCAAGAAGTTTTTTCTTTTTAACAACCTAAGGCTGATTTAGTTTTGGACTTGGTTTCCCAAAGCCTGTTTTGGACCACAAATACAATGCTGATTGGATTCCACAAATACAATGCTGATTGGATTCAGAGTTTTCTGCCAAACTAGCTTTTCAGTCAAGAAAAAGCTTTCAAACATTGTTTTCCAAGTACTCAACCCCAAGGCTATCTTTATCTTTTTCAAATTAACAATTATACATTGAATCTATATAGGTTTGCTACCCAATTTATTTAATTGTAACAAAGTTTTTAAGTTTTTTTCACCTATATTATTGTTTATTAACTTTTAGTCATAAATCAAAACCAAATGGAATGTTAATGATATGCATTCCTTTTTTTTTTCTCTTAATATTTAATTTGTGTAATGTACTATCTTATAAGAATGATGTGATGGGATGGGAGACAATTAGAGAAGTAAAAACTCTTTAATGAGTAATAGTCAATTCTTAAGGAGCTCAGGTGTAGTGGCTGGAAAGGGAATAAAATGATTGGAAAACAATGCATGCTGAGTGTGTCAGGGAGGTGAATTACGCAAAGTATGCTGTTGGTGATCTGGGACAGAACTAGTTGACTTAAGTAAGCATTTAGTTTTGGTTTCAGTGATTATTAATGCACAGAGGAAGAATGGGGAAAAAGGTAGAAAGTAAAGAATTGGAAAAAATAAACAGAGGGAAAGGGGGAGAGCCATAAGAAGCTTACGTTCAAGTTATAATTCCCTGATACAAACATGCACATGTACGGACCAAGACACGTAGAAAGAGAGAGAGAGGAAAGTGCTGCTGTGTGGAAATGAGCTGTGCTTGTACCTGCTATTTATTGGCCTTTATGAGTTACAGGTTAATGTAGTCGTAACAACTGTAGCAGTAGCTTCTGAAATTGGGTATCCCATGCTTAGTGGCACTGTATCCTTTTTCTGATGAGCTTTAATGTTTAGCTTTCTTTCTTCTCTGAAAAAAAAGCTGCAGTTGTCCTTCAGAATGGATTGGTTTAGGATAACCGGGCATTTTGGGATGTAATGTGGTTTTATTGGGCAAGCTATGTGAATGTTTGTGCATTTGTGTTTGGTTTCCTTTCACTGAGGATTTCTATTTGTATGTCCCTTGGATTTGCAATAAGTTTTTTCATTTTTCCCTTGAGTACTCTCCTGAATGTATCTGTGTTTATTTCATTTAAAACATAGAAATTGCTTTTTTATTTGCTTTGCTAGATGCACTATGTACTTGTATAATTTGGAATTTGTAGTCTATTTTGATAGCCAATAATCTCCCCTAATCTTATTACATTCTTATACTGTATCAGCTTTAATACGTTTCATGAATGGGAAACTCTGGTTCATGTCTAAACTACTTTTATGCAGGAAGAAGTTGATTGCAGAGTCGAAGGCAACTTTTATTCCACAGATACCTGAGTCATTGAAGGAGGAATTAATCAAACTTCTACAATCTTTTAGCCTAACAAAACAAGAATCTTTGGGTCCTTGATCAGCTTGGCTGGTATTGAAGCAAATAACCTTTCAATTCTCAAGATTCAGTTATTCTTAATTCTGGTTAGGATGTGAACTTCTTGGCTAATAACTTCTACTCTTGCCAATGCCTTCTGCTGTCTTGTTGCACAGAACCTTGGTGTATAATTAGTATTGCTAATTGGTGTTGTGGTGAAAGAATAGATCTTTGGGTGTATGTTAGTTCTGTCTCTTTTAGCAACTTTCAGCAATAGCAGGAGTTCGCCATCTTTTCACGTTATCATTTGCCGATGGCAACATTGTGATGCTTGTCGGTACCCTATGAATGATTTTTAGATCAAAGTGCTGAGTCCAAATATTGCCTAAAGTTTTGATCTTCGAGGCCTTGAAGATTTCTTTTTTCGGCAGAGAAGTGAGGAATCTTTATTCATTTTGTACGAAATCTATCTTGGAAAATTCATTAGCATAAATTCTTCATTTTACGGATGCATTACAAATCTTCCGTCAAAATTTGATCAGATAGTACCTGCTGTATGTATTACTATGAATGAGCTAAATTCAACCATAGATGTTTCCTCATAGTTGACAACTAATTGTCACATTCCTTGCTTCTTCTCATTCATTCGGAATTTGTGAACGAAAGTGTACTATAGTTTTAGTAATCTATGTGCATGCTGTGCTGAGGTTTCTATCCTGGTTTTCGATTTCGTTATTCTCAGTTTGGGACTAAGAGAGGGGTTGCTGATGTTAGAATTTGAATTTCAAATCTTTTGAATGCTATTGATTTATCTGAGTTAAAGTTTTGGATTCAGAGTCATGCAAATTATTACTGGCAACTTTTCGTTCGTAGATTACAAAACTCTTTTTCTACGAGGTACAATTTATTATTACTTAGTTCTGGTTAGAGAAATTAAAACAAATTGCAATTCTTATACGGAAACACTTAGGTATGAGAGAATTATCTCAATCTCTTAGGAAGAAGTGCCTTAGAAAAAAAGAAGGAAAACTCAGCTCACAACATAAACAAACCAAAAAGGTTGCTATGTAGAGCTAGCAGCTGCTTCCTTGTTTGCCAACAACTAGCCAAAATTAGCTGTCATCATAGTCGCTAGGCCAAGCTTTCCTATGCGTAATGCAGCAATAATAATAATAATAATGCAATCGTGGGCTAGTTGTTCAACTGTTGCTATTTTCTTGTAGAAGCATGCCAACGAATTCACGATTTAAGCATAATCTTTTATATTCATAGATAGGATGATAAATGAATTTATAAGTTAATTAATGAAAGTTTGTTTTCAAATTAGTTTTGAGGGATATATATATATATATATATATATATATATATATATATATAAAACACCTTCCTTATTTCATTTATGAAGTTTTAAAAATTTTAGTGATAAAATAATATATATAAATATATGTATATATATAGGTCGATTCAAGATTTTTTTTGAGGCATCCACTTATAATATATAAAAAAAATTATAAATAAAAATTTAAAATAATTTATTGTTATATTATTATAACTATGCACAACAAGTTCTTATATCTTAAAAAAAATAGAATTATATCATTCTTAATACTATTAAGTACATCATTCTCAATATACGTAACTAAATAAACATTCAACCAACAACTATAGAATGATTTACCAATTTTGTTGACCAAAAAAGTGTCCAGAAAAAAAATTTTAAGAGTCTAAGAAAAAATTTCCTTAATTTTTTTTTTTTTTTTGTTTTCTAATTTTTGAGAATGTCCATAAACATCCTATCTTAAGTTATATCTTAAGCCATAAATCAGATCTGCTTTTGTGTGTGTGTGTGTCTGTGTATATATATATATATAGGTTTTCTATTTTTTTTTTTTTGTTTTCATGTCGTTGGACATAACCTAATAATCTTTACATTGTAGCTATTTATGCAATAGATATTAGTTATAGAATTCATGTTTCAGAAATATATTATATCCTTTTCATTTTCAAAGAATTACTGTTGGAAATCCTAATAAATCTCGCTACGCTAAATCTTTCTCTTTATATTCCTATACCTTTCTTCTTATTTTTCTCTCTTATCATTTTTTGTTTTCCTTGTATATAGGGATTTGATTAGAGATTTGATTTCTAATATCTCTTGGTCATATCCTTTAATCATATCACTAAAGGTTATATATATTTTGTACCTAGCCGTATATAACAAACATTAACAGAAATTCTCATTCTTTCACTTGGTATCAAAGCTACCCATTAGGACCGCTCATCATCACTGTTTTTAACCAGTTGGAATTTCTTGCAAATGGTTTTTGGAGCGTGATTTTTTGGTTGATTGTGCCTTAATTGCCGATCACTTTACAACAGTTTGCGAAACAGCCGCCTTCCGTCTATTCCAACCTTAATTGTTGTTGTCTTCTCTCTTTTTTTCAGCCTTAATTGCTGTCATCCTCTCTTATTTCCTTTTTTAGCCTAAATTGTTGTACATTTTTTCAGTGGTGTTTTGATTGCCAACCAGTGTTCCATTCTAGTAATAAGGGTTCAGGTTCATCACCATTTGACCTTTCTTCAAATGAGGCAACCGGTGAACTGCAGAACATGCATTCAACCTAGCGGCTGAATGGAAAAAATTATCTTCAATAGTCTCAATTGGCCAAAGCTTATCTAAAAGGAAAAAAGAAGTTGAGCCATCTGAATGGGACATGACCAAATGTCAATAATCCATAATTTATGGCGTGGGATGAAGAAGACCTTATGATCATGCCATGGCTATGGAGTACTATGCAACCCAAAATTAGTAGAAATTGTATGTTTCTTCTTACAGCTAAGGATGTTTAGGATATAGTTGGTCAAACATACTCCAAGCAGCATGATACAACATTGGTTTATGAGTTAAAGATTTTAACCTTCGAATAGGGTAATCTTTCTGCTACAGAATATTATGACACAATGAAAGGCTTGTGGTTGGAATTAGATCATTATCAAGATCTTAAAATGAAGTGTAGTGAAGATACTCAGATAGTGTTAAACTTTGTGGAGAAAAGTAGAGTGTTTGAATTTCTTATTGGCCTCAAAACTAAATTTAATCGAGCGTGCAGATACTTGGGAAGAAAAAATTGCCTTCATTAACTGAAGTTTTCTCTTTAGTTCGTTATGAGGAAAGTCATAAGATTGTTATGTTGGAGAACAGCTTGAAGGGTCAGCAATGATTTTAAAAAGGCTGACTGAAAGTAGTGAAAGGTTAAGTTCTGTTAAGCAAGAGAACAAAAAGTAGAAGCTAGCAAAAGGGATAGTTTATGGTGTAGCTATTATAAGAAGCCACGGCATACAAAAGAAAACCATTTAAAACTTCATGGGAAGGCTCAACTGTTGGCCAAGAATGGTGGGTTTAATGGTTAGCAGAGTTGGGCGAATCTTACTAGTGTTGAGGAGGCCTAGCCGCAAGAGAAAATTACTCTAAGAGGTGAGGATCCCTGAGAACTGAATAAAGAGGAAATTGAAATGCCCTCCATTCCCTTTCTAAGCTATCCTTTTCATGCTCTTTTAGTCAATATAGTAAGTGCCTAATTTCTGAAACTCTTAATGTCTTGGACAATCCCCAAACCAACTCCTGGGTGTTAAACTCAGGAGTAACTGATCATATGACACCTAACTTTGTTGTTTTTGAGACTTACAAGCCTTATTAAAGAAATAAAAAGATCTCAGATGCAGATGGTTTTCCATTACAGTTGCTGCCAAGGAAATATTAGTCTCACTTGCTCTATTCCTCTTCAGAATATATTTCATGTTCCTAAGCTATCAAATAACCTGTTTTTTGTTCATCAATTCACAAGGTCTTTAAACTTTAGCCTAAATTTTCTCGACACTTATTGTATTTTTCAGGGATGGTGCTCAGGGAAAATGATTGGTCTTGCTAAGAAAAGGAATGAGCTTTACTATTTTGATGGGGAAAGTAGTTCTTTTGGAAAAAGGTCACTTCTATCTTGTTCATCACAAAGTGGTCATTCCAAAACTGCGAGTTCATATAGTGTGTCTGAGATTTGGCTTCAACATTTTAGATTTGGACAGCTTCCATTTCATTTATTAAAATCTATGTTTCTTGAAACTCTTACGGATGTTTCTATTGAAAACTTTCGTCGTAATATGTGTGAACTTGCAAAACACCATAAGTGTCATTTCCATCAATCAATAAAAGATTAGTCCAGCCTTTTTCCCTAACCCATAGTCATGTGTGCTCCAAAATTTCGAATCTATCTAGAGCTAGATGGTTTGTGTCATTTATTGATGATTGCATTCGATTGACATGGATCTATCTCATGAAGGAGAAATCTGAATTAAGTAGAATGTTTCCAAATTATCATTAAATGATGAAAAACTCAATTTGAGGTTTCTATAAAACGATTCCAATCAGACAATGCACAAGATTACTTCAACCAAACCTTAAATACCATTTTTCGATAGGTTGGCATTGTTCAAGAAGTTGTGTTGACACCCCTAACAAAATGGGGTGGCAGAAAGAAAAAATTGTTACCTTCTAAATGTGACACGAGCTTTTTTGTTTCAGTCTCATTTCCTAAATATTTTTGGGAAGAAGCTCTCTAAATCGCTACCCACTTAATTAATCGAGTTCCATCCCGAACCTTAGAAAACAAGAATCTAGTTAAACTTTTGTAGTAAGCCTATTCAAATGCCCTTGTCTCTCATGGTTTACGTCCAAAAATCTTTGGATGTGTGGTCTACGTTCATATTTATAAAAACAATCGGGACAAACTTGATCCTTGAATCCTAAAGTGTGTCTTTTGCGAGTATTCCTTTACATAAAACAGGTACAAATGCTTCCATCCTTTGAGTAGAAAATTCTTTGTCACCATGGATGCTACGTTCCATGAGAAAGTCTTACTTCCAAAACTCCTCTCAATCCGGTCTTCAGGGGGAGAATTTTAATAAAGACAAAGACCTAGATCTGGACTTGTAACTTTCTAACTTTCCCAAGTTTTACCCAATCTGATTTTAACCTTAAGCTACCAAATTCTCAACCTCAAGAGTCATTGAATTCGCTACATAACTCGGAGCCTTTTCTTGTTGATGATGCAAATGAACCTAGTGCCACTCAAAGAGAATTACTAACGTACTCAAGAAAAAATAAGCCTAAAACTAATCCGTGGCATGGCTAGGAATTCAACTCGAATTCAGCTATTGTTTCTATTCCTTCTATTGATGAAAAGTCTTTTAACTTTCCTACTAAAGAACCTATGCCAGATGATCTAGATATTCCAATAGCTTTGAGGAAAGGGACCTTTAATTGTACTAAAAATCTTTTATACCCAATTTCGAACTTTGTTTCTTGTCATAGAATATCTCCCCAACACCAAAGTTTTTCTTACTACCCTAGATAACATAAAATTCCCAAATCTGCCTAAAAGGCATTAAGAGACAAGAAATGGGTGCAAGCTATGAGAGAGGAGATGAGTGCTCTTAAGAAAAATAAAACTTGGGAAATTGTTGATTGAAGAGACCAATTGGGTACAAGTAGATGTTTAGTGTGAAATATAAAGCTGATGGTACTCTTAGAGGTACAAAGCTAGACTGGTAGCAAGGGGCTATTCTTAAACCTTCGGGATAGATTATCAGGAACTTTTGCTCTGGCAGCAAAAATGAAACAGTTAGAATTTTGATATCTTTTCTTGTATCCTTTGAATCAATTTGATGTAAAGGATGCTTTTCTACACAAAGATCTAGAAGAAGAAGTTTTTATGAAACCACAACCTGGTTTTTATAAGAATTTTTGGGATAATAAAGTTTGTAGATTAAAGAAGGCTAAGCAGTCTCCTAGGGCCTAGTTGGGGAATTTACAAAGTCTATTATTCACATGGGATATAGGCAGAGTCAAGAAGAACACACCTTAT